CCAGAGCGTGGATCCCTGTTCCTGCTTCACTGGAGAATACTGTCTCTGCCACCCCACGGATAGCTCAACCCCCCTTAAGGGCACGGGTCTCCTAATGGCACCTGATGTGGCAGGAAGAGCCCTGGGCTGGGAGGCTCGTTCACGCCTGGCCCCGAGCCTCAGTTTCCCTTCCTATAAAATGAGAGAGTTAGACTTGATGATCCCCAAATTCCCTTTCCATGCTGACCTTGTAGGATATTTGTCCACATGAGATGACTCTAATGGTGGAGTCTCAGGCTCCATTACTGGGGCGTGCAGGGGGTATTTTGGAGAAGGCCCTGCCCAGAGCTTTCTGTTTCCCCACAGGATACGCTGAGCTGACCCTGCTGTCTTTTTGAATATCTGCCTGTGCGTGTGGCTTTGGTAGAGAGAAAGGGAGCAGGAGCTGGCTGGGTTTCTTTCTTTTTTTTTGTTTTTAAGGAGAGGTTTTTAAAATTAGTTAATTTATTTATTTATTTTTGGCTGCATTGGGTCTTCCTTGCTGCGCTTGGGCTTTCTCTAGTTGCGGCAAGTGGGGGCTACTCTTTTTTTTTTTTTTTTGCGGTAAACACGGGCCTCTCACTGTTGTGGCCTCTCCCGTTGCAAAGCACAGGCTCTGGACGTGTAGGCTCAGCGGCCATGGCTCACCGGCCTAGCCGCTCCGCGGCATGTGGGATCTTCCCAGACCGGGGCACGAACCCGTGTCCCCTCCATCGGCAGGCGGACTCTCAAACACTGCGCCACCAGGGAAACTCGGGGGGCTACTCTTTGTTGCGGTGCGCGGGCTTCTCATGGCGGTGGCTTCTCTTGTTGCAGAGCACAGTCTCTAGGTGCACGGGCTTCAGTAGTTGTAGCACGCGGGCTCAGTAGTTGTGGCACACGGGCTTAGTTGCTCCGTGGCATGTGGGATCTTCCTGGACCAGGGCTCAAACCCGTGTCCCCTGCATTGGTAGGCAGATTCTTAACCACTGCGCTGCCAGGGAAGCCCTGGCTGGGTTTCTTAGCCTCCCCATCGGTCAGCAGAAAGCGTCTCTCAGACCATCTCTCTTCCCTCCCCCACAGCACTGGGCCCTCTTCCCCACCCACCCACCGAGGTCCCATCTCCTGTTCTGACCAGCTTTCTGTATGAGGTGTCACCCATTTTGTGTTCATGTGGTTCCAGTGCTGGATAGGGAATATGGGACCATAGGGGCTTCAGATCCGGAGGATGGCAGGGAGGGTAGGGGGCCCTCACGGAGGATGGCAGGGAGGGTAGGGGGCCCTCACAGAGGTCTGGTTTCTGGTAGAAGAGGAGGAGGATGGAGCCTCTAAAAAGCAAATCAGACTTTAACATGGAAGAGTAACCTCTTATGAGCACCAGCCAGACCACCTTATGATGCTCAAAGCGTGTCTTCTTCCCACTCAGGCTAGAATACAAAAGGTTTCTTTCTGCCATCTCAGTCTTGGGAGGTACCAGGCTCCAGGGAGGGTGTGTGAAGAAAATCCCTCGCTGCCACATTGGCCATATGGAAGGGGGAAAAGTGTAGGAAGACACTGGCATGTGCAGAGTCCCTAGGAGGAACCATGAGAGAGTCAAGAAACTTAAAGGAGGCCGGAGTAGCACGGAGAGCAAAGAGGAGAGGGAGAGAGAGGAGATCAGGGCCCACACCATGAAGGTGCAGAGGGAGCCTGGCCTTTATTTTGACGGGCAGGAGAGACGGCCAGGAGGCAGGATCTGGGGTGGAGCTTTGCAGAGGGACATCTCTTCAGGTTTGGGAAGACTTGAGGGGAAGGCACCATCTTCTGAACCCGGTTCCTTCCTCCTTGGTCCCCTCTAAATGCTCTCTTGGGCCTGTTTCTCTTCCTCCCTCAGGGTCCAAAGAAAGGGTCTGACCCGCTAAGCTGACCAGGAGTGCTCCTGGGGGCTGGAGGGCAGGGCCCTGGCGCAAAGAGTCAGAGTGGTTTCAGCAGCCCCCAAGTCCTGAGTCCAACGTGGAAATTCCAGGCCTTGGGATGTAAGCCTCCAGGATACTGACACCAGTTGGGAGACTCACTCCACTCAAGAGAGCACCCCCAAAAGGGTTGGGAAGCCCAGGCCCCCAACTTGATACCCCAAGGACAGTATCAGGATGACCTGGCAGCCCCGGGCAGCTCCTTCCCCAAAATGAAAACTTTCACCATCACAAGGGGCAGACAGAGAGCTTGCTTGGAGTTGGGACCTTCTAGCTGGGACCCTAGAAGGCCCTGGGGCTCATTTCTGCTCCAGAAAGGTGCAGCCCCTCAGCTTCCTTTGCCGCCCCAGACGCAGGAAAGCGTCTCAGCCAGGTCTGCGCAGGAGGACTTACAGACGTGGAACCCCAGAGCTTGCCAGGACAGCACCAACCTGCTGGACCCCTCCCAGTCCTGGCCCTTCCATCCAAGCCCAGAAACTCAGACTAGGCCTACGACAAAAGACCAGGAAGTCCCCCAGCATGGGTGGGGGCATTTGCTGTTTCCTCCAGGGAGGAAACAAGGGCTGCCCAAGGCCAGGTCCTGTGGAAGCACATCCTGCCCCCTGGGCTGCTGACCCAGGACAGGATAGGCCCCTGGTATTCGGGACCAACCTTGGGCAATAGGGAACGCAGAGGGAAGGCTTGACCTTCAAATCTGGGTCCAAAGCCCAGTATCCTGAAATACTAATTTTGTGTGCCTCAGTTTCCTCATCTGTTAAATGGGATGATAATAATACCTTCCACATAGGGTTCTGGTAAGGACTGTGTTAGCCTAGAGGGAGTATCACATGGTGACCAAGAGCAGGGGTTCTGGAGCTGCCCTGCCTGGGTCCAAATCCCGGCTCCTGTGCTGCTAGCTGTGTAATCTCGGCATGTTACCCTCTCTGTCTGTGTTTCACCTGTAAAAATGGAGATAAAAGGGCTGCCATGAGGATTAAAGGAGCAAGCCCATGTACCCAGAACACTGTCTGGTATGTCCTAAGTGCTCACAAATGCCACCTATTGGCTATACTCCACAGAGATGGTACTTGGCACACAGAGGTGCCCAGTAAATGTGGGCTCCATCCTCTGGTCCCCGTGACTCTCACATCTTGTGTTTCCTACCCCCAAATCCAAACACCCAAGATTCCCTTTGATCTCCCACCAATAAAACCTTATTAGCTTGTTCACACTCAAGTGTAAATGATGGACGGCCATTTAATTTATACCAAAGGAGCATATGCACACCTTCAGCCAAAGGAGCAATGCTGATGGTGGACTCCAGGCCACAGGCCGGGCTGGGGGTAGGGAGCATTTGGGAAGGTAGCTCTCCCAGAGTCCTTCAGTGATAACCACCTCAGCAGGCCAGGTATCTCCAGGCTGGAAAGGGTATTGGGTTTAAGACCCAGCTCTGCTCCTGATTGCTGTGTGACTTTCAGCAACTCACTTGACCTGTCTGAATCTCAGCTTCCTCATCTGCCTAATGGGATAACTTGTCTTCTGCCATCCTCAAGGAGCTGTCCAAAATTAAATGCATCTGAAAACGGTCTGCCTTTGTCTCTCAGGATTGTGGTTATTTGTCCATGTGTCCATCTGCTCTTCCCAGCCTGGATAGGGAGCAGGTGTTCAAGCCAATAACACAGCAGGTGTTCAGTGACCATGAGCTGAACTGCAGTGCACATCCTGATCTTGGGGCATAATCCCTCCCATGCACCCAGTCACAGCCACATTCGCATTCTCATCCATTCCCCACCATGCCCCGCAGTGGCCTGGGGAAGCTTGGAATACCCCATTTAGCAGATGAGGAAACTGAGACCTGGGGAAGTCAGGGCATTTACCTGAAGTGGTGGAGCTGGTAATCACCCACAAGCACTTGACTGCAAAATCCGTGCTGTCACGTGATTTCTGGATATCAGAGTTGGTGCTGGAAGGGGAGCAGTTTCCCTTCTCACAGGGATGTGGGACCAGCAGAAGGAGACAAAAATACAAGGACACCTATTGGCTTCAGGCACAGGCTACATTAGCCTGAACTTTAGGTCATCAGATTCTCGTGACCTCTCTGCGTGGAGGGGTTCTTATCCTACAGATGGCAAGCTTCAGGCTCAGCGAAGTAAAGGCATTTGGCCAGTAAGTTGAAGAGGAGGACTTGAAGCCAGGGGTGTCTGACACTGATGGTTGTGCCTGTGACCATTACCATGCAGTGCCCTCACCCACACTCACACACACCCAGCTGGCTTGAGAGGCGGGGGATAGAAAAGCTGGGAGTGGAAGCTGCTGCCCTGCGGGGATGTCATGGGAAGGTGGGTGGATGATCTTCCTAGAGGGCAGACCTGTCCACGGGGATGGATGTATCCTCTGCAGGACAGGAGCTCCTGGCCCCGGAGGAATGCAAAAAGCCAGGGAGGTTGTAGTCAGCTCTCAAAGGGTAGTGGACTAGTGGCCACTCAGGATTGCTGCTGACCCCCGCCTGGGGGAGGCTTCTCACCCTCCTTCTGCTTCTCCTGTCCTCTTTGTCCCATCTCTTCCTCATCTCTGCCTGGGTCCCTTGTGTGACTTGGACAAGTTCCTTCACCTCTCTCCTAAATTCATAGCGTTTAACACCGTCCAAAGGGCCAAGGGCTCAGTAAGGGCAATTATGGTCATTTTTCTTTTCTCCCCTCCCTCCATCCTGGAGAGCACTGAAGAAAAGGAGGCTGGACCCCCTGGGTTCTAAGTCTCCTCCTGCACAGCGAGCATTTCCTTCCTATCCTGTCCCATTCCGTCTTAGTCTCCAGAGAGGCAGGGAGAGCCGAACTCAGCCCGGGGTCTACTGGCGCGACCCGGGTGTGCCAACCCTCATCCCTTCGCCTCAGTATCGCATCCAGGAAAGGGGCGAGCGCTCCCCGCGTCCCTTGGTGCCGTCTCTGGGTGTCCTCCGCACAGGTGGCTGAGCTCCAAGAGGCGCGGGACGCGGGCCCTGCAGGAGGGCGTGTGCTGCCCCCGCCCATCCCGCGCTCGCGCCCTCGCCGGGGCACCGAGAACCCACGTGATTTCCCGGCAGAGGCAGCCGGCTCCCCGCACCCGTCCCCCGGCTGCTCTCCGCGCCTACTTTCAGTTTCGTGCTCAGCGCGGCGAAGCCGGGAGCGCAGCCGGGAGCGCAGCCGGTGAGTGCCCACCATTTCGCGGGGCAGCGGGACTCGGCTGGGGCGAGCTGCGCAGGGAGGTTCGGGGTGCAGACGCCGCGCGGAGCGGGGAGGAGGGTATGCCAGAGGACTCTGGAGCTGGACGTACCCATGGCCAGGTAGCTGACCTGATGGATGGTCGGGCCGACGGACGGCTGGACTGATGAACGGGTGGGCAGATGGGGCGCCGATGGTGGGGGAGCGCTTAGCCTGCCACCCTGCAGAGTTTGGGGGATGAGTTTCGAGCCGCAGAGGAAAGCAAGTCCGGGTCACCCGGGTTGGGTTTCGGGACGCGGCTGCGTTCCCGCTCCCTCCCATTCTTCCCCACCTTCGCACCGCTCCTGTCACCTCCTGGAGCTTCAACTTCTAATTGTCTTTTAAAGAATTTCAGAAGTCCCCGCTGCTCATTGCGTGGGACTATTTAGCCTAAAAGAGCTTTTTATGATGGACAGTTCCAAACATGTGCAAAAGTAGAAGAAATAGGGGCTCCCTGGAGGCGCAGTGGTTAAGAATCCGCCTGCCAATGCAGGGGACACAAGCCCTGGTCGGGGAGGATCCCACATGCGGTGGAGCAACTAAGCCCTTGCGCCACAACTACTGAGCCTGTGCTCTAGAGCCCGTGCTCTGCAACAAGGGAAGCCACCGCAGTGAGAAGCCCATGCACCGCAACCAAGAGTAGCCCCCACTCACTGCAACTAGAGAAAGCCCGTGTGCAGCAACAAACGCAGCCAAAATAAATTAATAAATAAAAATAATAAATAAAAGTAGAAGGAATAGAATTAGGTTGAGCTGTACAAATACGTCAGTTTTGGTATAACCAAGCCCCACGTAACCGCCACTTAGGCTTCAACAGTCATCACCCCAGACCAGCCCAGTTTCGTCCCTACCACACTTCATTTTGAAACAAATGGCAAACAGACACAGCAGCATCTCAACTGAACTTTCCCACAATGTGCTAAAGTAAGGAGATTTTAAAAAGACATAACCACAATACCATCAGCATAACTTTAAACATTTTAACAGTAATTCCTTAATGTCAAATCTCCACAGACTATTCCTGATGAGCGTTTTAACCTCACAAGTAATAGGTGAACACATGGGTGCCCTTTTGTTTACATGGGTGTCGTTTTGCTACTTGCTTTTTGCGTTTCCAAGTCGTTTTCAGCCATTTTCTCACCCAGGGGGCCAGGACCTGGAGTTTGCTGGGATGGCCATTTGGGGAGGTGCAGGGAGGCCCCCCACCTTCAGCACCATTTATATCCATTTTATACGTTGGGGTTCTTATGTTTCCTTTTTAAGAGGTTGGGGGTTCTGCAGGCTTCAAAAGCAGTTTGAAAACCAGCACTTCCAAGCCTCCCAAACCTGGGGATGGCAGGAGGTAGGGTGTACCCGGGGCCAGTACATGGAGCCTCATCCCTCCAAATTGCTTTTCTTTCTAAGAAGCAGTAAGCTCGGAAAACATTAGGCTTGGTCTCTTACCAGAGAACAGAGCAGTGGTGAATCTGATGATTTCATGGTGCATGCAGGCCCCCCATCCAGCGTGCTTTCCTCAAAACTTACCGATAGCACCGACTGGTCATTGATTATGCCCACCTGCCTCCCCTCCAAAGCGCAGCACCAGGACTTCCCTGGTGGCGCAGTGGTTAAGAATCCGCCTACCAATGCAGGGGACACAGGTTCGATCCCTGGTCCAGGAAGATCCCACATGCCACGGAGCAACTAAGCCTGTGTACCACAGCTACTGAGCCTGTGTTCCAGAGCCCGTGCTCCGCAACAAGAGAAGCCACTACAGTGAGAAGTCCATGCACCCCAATGAAGAGTAGCCCCCGCTCGCCGCAACTAGAGAAAGCCTGCGCAGCAACGAAGACCCAACGCAGCCAAAAACAGAAACAAAAACAAAGCACAGCACCAGCTAGATTGGAGCCTGGCATGGGAGGCAGAAGGACCAGGGCTCTCAGCACCTTGAATTTGCTATTTTATCTCTCAGAACCTCGGTTTCTCATCTGTAAAATGGGGATGATAACATGTCCTTCAAGGTACCGCACCAGCATGAGGAGTGATGGGTCCTTGATGAAAGCAGACAAGCGGAAGGGAAAGTTCCTTGGAAGAGTTTCCCAATATGCTTAGCCGTATTCCTCCGCCAGATACAGAGGTGCCTGGATGTTTGTAGGGCCAAGTCAGTCTCCTTACACCCAACACATATACCCACCTCCCCTCTGAGAAAAATTCAGCCAAATTACTTAGTATGTCTTCCCCTGTCTGTTACGGATTGAATTGTGTCCCTGAAAAAGATACGTTGAAGTCCTAACCCCTCTACCTCAGAATGTGGCTTTATTTTGAACAAAGGTCGTAGCAGATGTAATTAATTAAGATGAGGTCATACTACAGTAGGTGGGTCCTTAATTCAGTATGAATGGTGCCCTTATAAGAGAGGAGGCCAGCATAGGAAAATCGAGATACATGGGGAGAAGACAGCCATGTGACACAGGCAGAGATTGGAATGAGGTATCTACAAATTAAGCAGGTCCAAGAACTGCCCAGAAACCACCAGAAGCTAAAAGAGGCATGGCAGGGCCCACCCCTAGAGGCTTCAGAGGGAGCATGGCCCTGCCCACACCTTGGTTTCAGGCTTGGCCTCCAGAACTGTGAGAGTATAAATTTCTTACATTTTAATCCACCCAGTTTGTGGTTCTTTGTAGCAAAGCTAGGAAGCTAATTTGCCATCCCAGAATCTCTCCTCTGCTTTCCACAGAGTCCCACTAAGGATTAAGCAAATTAAATACAGGTGCAAATACTTTGTAAAAACTTTTTGGAGGCCTTCTAAGGATGTAAACTACGGGTTTTCTTTACCGGATCTATTTTTTGAGTGTTGCTGGTAGCCCAAAGTCTATCTTGGATGAAACTCAGTCTGCAAGGCAAACACCCAAATGATTTGAGAAGGAAACAAACAAACAAAAAGTGAAAAATTGATCAGTCTGATGGTTAGTGCAGGCTGTCTGGAGAAGGGAAGGCTTTTGGTCCCTCAGACCCCCCTGAAGATCATATCTCTGCCATCTACTGCCCTTAAAACCAGGAGGAAGTGGTGAGGCAGGCAAGCACTTGGTTATATGTGGGACTTGTTACCCATATAATAAGCATGCTTATGTAACCTGTATGCCATCTGGGGTTTCCTAGATCCTTGAGAGCTGGGTGAAATTGCCATGAACCCCCATTATGCTCCTTTGGGGGGCCCTAAGTATTTTCAAGCTCTCTGTGGATCTGGAAGGTGGAGATGAATGTCAGAGTAGTGCTTCTGGCCATCTCTGACCCCAGACTCTTCTTCTGCTCTGCAGCCATCCTCTCTCACTAGTAGAGCAGGGCATGAAACCAGTAGGTTTCCTGGGGTGAAAAGATGGGAGACCTGTGGAAACCTGAGTTCACTCATTTACCCTGCCTGTTTCAACACTGATGGGACTCCTGCTACATCCTGTGAGTCAATCCAAAGTCTTCTGATAAATTCCCAGACACAGGAGTCTTTCCCAGAAAGGTATTTAGCAGCCCTTCTGGCTGGGATGCCTCTGACATTTGGCAAAGGAGAACCTCAATGAACTTGAGGGAACGTTGAGTTCACACTCAGATGACTTCTATTCTCAGTTTGCTTTTCTTCCTTCCAGACTTTTTTCTATATGTGTATATTCCTATATGTGTATATTCCTATCTTTTTTAGTGGACTCATAACATAAAAACCAAAATGGAATTAACACTTTTTAAACTAAATAACATGGAATTATGTATTAAAGGAAGATTAAATGCTATGATATCCTTTTTTTAATTGTTTAGTTTTTAGTAGCTAGTACATTCACATAGTACAATAGTATAAAACAAATAAAAAGGTATGTAATGAAAAGTAAGTCTCCCTCCCTCCCCAGTCTCCTGGACACCTGATAACCCTTCCTGAAAACAACCAATGTTATCAGGTTCTTATGTCTCCTTCCAAACACAGTCCAGGTGGGCACATGGAGATATATATATATATATATATATGTGTGTGTGTGTGTCTGTGTGTGTGTGTGTGTGTATACACACACACACACACACACACATATATATATCCCCTTCTCACAAGTGGTAGTATACTGTATATAGTGTTTTTTATCTTGTTTTTTTTTAATTTAATGTAATTTGGAAATCTTTCCACATCAAAACAAAAAAATCTGCCTTTTTTCTTTTTAACAGCTACATAGTATTTCAGTGCATGGCATAATTGATATAACTGTTGTTGGGCATTTAGGTTGTTTCTCATCTCTTGTTATTTCAGTCAGTGCTGTAACAAATATCCTTGTTCAAGCATCGTTTTTGCCTACGTGAGAATCTTTAGGGAAAACATCCAGGAGTGTGTTTGCAAGGTCAAGGGGAAAATATGCAGTTTGAACTTTGATAAATCTGGCAAATTACCCTCCTTAAGTGTTGTACTAATTTTCACTCCCACCAACATGTATGAGGAGGCCAGCTTCCCACCCATTCCCCAACACATGTTATCAAACTTCTCCATATTTGCAGATCTGGTAGACAAGTAATGGTGTCCTATTTTTTTTCATTTCTCTTATTATGAATGATTTTGGGCATCCTTTCAAATATTTAAGGCTCACTTATAGTTCCTTTTCCATAAACTGTTCATATCCTTTGCATACTTTTCCATTGAGTTGTTGGCGTTTTTCTTATTGAGCTGTAAAAGCACTTTACATATTAAGGAAATTAGCTCTTTGTAGTATGAGTATACTGTCATCTTAAGTGGCTACATAGTTGTCCAAAGAATGGCTGAACCGTAATCTTTGTTAAACATTTAATTGGATCTTGTTTTCTCCTACTACATATGGACTGTTTCCTCTGTTTTATATTAAAAAAACAAGAGGTAACATTTTAATTCTTTCCATAGCCCTTCCCAGAATTCCTCTCAGGGAAGGAAGTATTTCTGGAAAAATACCTTGATAGGATTGGGGTGG